CCTACTCCTCGACCCAACCACGCTGAATGATGCTCTCGCACACGTTCGGCTCAACGTCTTGTGGTGCAACCTATGTAGCTTGTCCCACAGGAATCAGTAAACTGATACACACAAAATGAGGTGGCATCCACCTACAGTTTATCCTTCAGTTACAGAGTTAACACAGGTGTGGAAGCGGAGAAGATTCGTAGCTTCCCTGCGAAATAGGTGTTCTTGATAGCACTTCTGAGTCTTCTACTAATAAGTGTGGTTGTATTATCGCCTGTGAAGGCAATGGTCGATACATGTTTCTCTTATCTGATGTAGATGTTTTAATCTCTCGCCGGTCAGACAGCATGTTTTTGTCAATGAATGACTTCGGGTAGCCATTATTAAGAAAGGACTCCTTTATTTTTACACGCTCCTGTGCAATGGTCTCTTCCGAGCAAATTTTCATTGCTCTTTGAGTAAGGCACCGAATTAGGTTTTGCTTCTGTTATTGTGGCACAAAACTGTCAAAGTGGTCATACTGACCAGTTCACGTTGTTTTTCGATAAATTTTACCTTGTAATGTTTCGTCTGGTCGGTGCGACATTTGTACGTTTAGGAAAGCTATACATTCATCCGACTCCGGTTGTATGCTGAAGATGATTGATTGATTGAATTTTCGTTGAAATTCAATCTGATTTCCTGATCCGTCCGCCACGCACATGATGTCGTCGACATACTGGGTATAAAGTGGAAGTTGTTCAATCAATTCATTTAGTGGGCCCTTTTCCAGTCTAACCATAAAAAATGCAGCGAACAGGGGACCAGAGATGAACCCATTGCTAGTCCCTCTTTCTGTCTATATATCTAGGGAAAAGAAACTGAATATTGAGAGTGCATTGGTAAAGCGACATGGAGGAACTGAAGAAGTTGCTTTACCAATGCACTGAAAAGGTTCAATTCTGTTCCGCTGGACATTTATGTAGACAGAAAGATGGATAAGCAAAAGGGTGAGCCCGCAGTTCGCTGGGGTTTTCATTAACAAACAGAAAAAAGGCTATATAAATTTAATTACTGAACGACTGCGTTAAGGGAACAGGAATCCCTTTGATAGCAGCGTAGAACAGTTGACCATGACGCAGGCAGAAGCTTATTAGGCAACCAATGAGAGCGGACTAATGGTGACGCTTCACCTTGAACGCTGTCAATGAGGATGGTCTAACCTTGAAGCCTGCCAGTGGACGCTAGGCCATGCCATTATTAACTATTGATTCGACTCCATTATTTGATTTGTTTACACTACTTGCCGGGTGCTTAATACAGCTTTCGCCTGAGTCCTTTGTCTACTAATCAGGAAAGTCAGCGGGTCAACTTGCACGGTAGCAGCAGCATATCCGCACAACCAGAGAAAAACACAACAGATTGCTGCTTTATAAGCGATATGTCGACGACATCATGTGCGTGGCGGACGGATCAGAAAACCAGATTGAATTGCAACGAAAATTCAATCAATCAATCATCTTCAGCATACAACCGGAGTCGGATGAATGTATAGCTTTCCTAAACGTACAAATGTCGCACCGACCAGACGAAACCTTACAAGGTAAAATTTATCGAAAAACAACGTGAACTGGTCAGTATGACCACTTTGACAGTTTTGTGCCACTTAATCCGGTGCCTTACTTAAAGAGCAATGAAAATTTGCTCGGAAGAGACCATTGCACAAGAGCGTGTAAAAATAAAGGAGTCCTTTCTTAATAATGGCTACCCGAAGTCATTCATTGACAAAAACATGCTGTCTGACCGGCGAGAGATTAAAACATCTACATCAGATAAGAGAAACATGTATCGACCATTGCCTTCACAGGCGATAATACAACCACACTTATTAGTAGAAGACTCAGAAGTGCTATCAAGAACACCTATTTCGCAGGGAAGCTACGAATCTTCTCCGCTTCCACACCTGTGTTAACTCTGTAACTGAAGGATAAACTGTAGGTGGATGCCACCTCATTTTGTGTGTATCAGTTTACTGATTCCTGTGGGACAAGCTACATAGGTTGCACCACAAGACGTTGAGCCGAACGTGTGCGAGAGCATCATTCAGCGTGGTTGGGTCGAGGAGTAGGCAATACTTGCACCGCTGCGACTGTCGTAAATTTGGCCGATACTAAGCACCCGGTTGTTATCATGAAGACCTTCCGCCCGATCCAAACTGATCAAATGCCGCATAGTTGCAATGACAGAGGCGAGAGCCATCCGTTTACACCCCACTCCCCTATGTGTGCACAAACAATTTGTGAGGAATTTGAAACATGTTAAACAATGCTGTGAGAAGACGAAGGCTGGTGAATGTTAACATTTCGTATTGTCTCGTCAGTGCCAATACGATAACAGGAAAATATATATCTAAAGCTACGGTGTGACCGGATAATATACAGGGTGGGGTACACATATGCCCCCCCCTACGTCTATGGGAGCCTTAAGTTTATGAACAACTGTTTTTGCACACAGAGTGCCGGTTTGATCCTGCTGATCGCGACAGCCTCGGAGAAATGTAGGATGCGGTTGTTAGCATGCCACAACAAGATTGTGAGCTGCGTGGCAGGGTCGAATGGATGAAAAATAGACAACAAATGTCAACCTATGGATGAGACAGGTGCCTTTCGTGAACAGGTGGTAGACGAAGCGGAAGACTGGATAATTTCATGCTGCACCAACTTAGGTACATATTCCCTTACTCTGGAATTCAACATTCTCTCGGCACAGCCTATGTAGCGTGACACGCAGCTACAAGTGAGTTGGTAAATGCAGTGTGAAATGGCGCCGAAAGCTTGTCTTCCCTTCGTTGGGGGAACAGGCACTTTGTTGGTTTGGTTAATAAGGACAGCTTCGGCAGCGTAATAAGTCCTGTTAACAGCGGAAATTAATCGCTTGGTTGTCCTCATGGTGGAAAGATCCCCTTTAAACGGTAGTTCTATAAAGATCTTTTTGGCCACAGTGGGGACTTTTTCTCTCGCCAATCTCGTCTGGCTATGTTGTACGATACACCAGCAAGGATAACGGTTTTTCAAGAGCGTATTTGTGAGGACTCCAGTTCTCCCCTGACCAGCTGTCGCACACTCAATCATGTGAACCAGTCGACACGGCTGTCACGTCCACCTCCCACTCCAATGCTAATACGTGTGTTGTACTTAGCCTGATGTATCGCCGAAAACGAGCTTGTTCGCTATACTGACCTTTCATGAGTAACACGGGAATTATTCACCATGTATTTGATGTTTTCCATTCACTGACTGGCTCACGTTTACTGACTTGTACCATCAGTTGCATCCCATGGGTTTGTGTTCGCACTGCATACGGGCCGATCCAAAGAGACCATAGTTACAACGGGGTGGGTTCGTTCGGCGTGATCAGTCCTCATGAGTAACATCCGATTGGTCAATCGTCTATTCGGCAGATGCTCCTACGGTTCACCATCTGTCACAGCTACGTGCGTTGCTAAAATGGTCTCAGGCGTATGCCATCCACTCGCAGACCAATCCGGACCAGTCGTGCGCGCTCGACTTTCGTCTGATCTGCCCATCGGTACTGAATCGATTCCATCCGCACCCATTTTCATCCACTATCACAGCTACCCGCAACAGTTGGCGACCTGTGGTGCCGCATCCGTGAGCAGGTGACGGCTGCTGTTAAGCAAACCATCGAAAGTGCAAACTGCAAACGGCCCGATTAGTTTGATGACAAGAATGAGACTGTTGCCGAATCGGTGACCGAAAAGAATGCAGCCTTCGCTACATATATGATGGACCCTGCTGACCCAGTGAAAGAGAGTTGGTTTCGCAAACTTCGAAAACGACAGACTCGAGAGCTCCGTCGTATCAAGAATGCATGGCGAAGCAGATGGAATGTCGCGTCGAACGCCGTCAACATAAGGAATTCTTTGATACATTGAAGGCGGTGTATGGACCGTTTGCTGCTCGACGCTACTTCAGGTGCTGTCTGTACACAGATTGCAGACATAATGCGGATTTGGCGTAAGCACTTCGACTGTCCCTTGAACAACCGTGCAGAGATTGAGTGGCCTACGTAGCACGGACTGCAACAACAGGAGCTGAAGATGTGCCTTGCCGACACGCCGACAATGTATGAGACGTAGAGAGCATTTTCTAAGCTGCGAAACCGCAACTGCGCCGGTTCCAACGGTACACCGCCAGAATTGTTGAAACACGGCGGACCCGCATTGGTAAATTTACTGCACCACTTAATGCAATGCGTGTGGTTTGAAGAGAAAGTACCGGCTAACCTAAAGAATGCCCTTGTGCTACCCCTGCGTAAGAGCAAAGGAAGCAAACAATGTACAACGTGCCCAGCCCCCTCGTCATTCAGGTCGTTGAATAGAACGTAGCGTATGAGTAATGCAGATTCATACGGGTCGCAGCATCATGTATATGATGTTCGCGGCTCGTCAGTTGCAGAAATGATAGAGCCACACCGGCCATTGTACTCATTGGTCGTAGACTTAACCATTTGATACGGTGAACCTCGAGACACTGAGGCTGATGTTGGTTAACTTTGGTTGTCCGATTAGATCTGTAAGTTTAACCTAATGTCCGCACAGAGGTACGCGGGCGAGGGTGCAGTAATGTGAATAAAAAGCAGATAACTATGAGATTGACACTGGTGTGAAGGAAGGCTGCGTCTTAACCCCTGCCCTGTTCAACATTTATCTACATGCAAGGATATTTTTGATGCTGCTTGTGATTACAATGTCCGTGTGGACGATGGGCTGCTGAGTAACTGTCGTTTTGGGACGAGAATCCGAGTGTGTGAGACGACCATCAGGTAAAAGAGGAGGAGCCAAATGAGTATGTTCATCAGTAATGAGGTTACAACAATGTTTTAATAAGGTTTCAAAATAACGTCAAATGTTACGAGTCACGTGGTATCAAACTAAGCAAAACACATAAGTCGTACAGTTAGAGTAAAATGAAGGAGTATATCCACACATTTTGAAGAACGGAAAAACTTACGTTACCCTTTAGAGTTGGAGCTACGCCTGTCGATTCTAGGCGTCCGATATCCCATTCAAGTTGCTTTGTATGTAAGTCAAATCGATACCGTCCAGAGCTAGGAGTGACATCCACGTTGCAGACATCGTGTGACAGCCGCATCGTTAGTTTGACTGAGTCAATCTGAAACAAGCGTGATGAAGACAGCAACAGCATAGTGAGGAGGGTGAGAAAAATAAAGCGCCTTGAAAAGTTGTTCAGTTAAGTTGCTAAATGGAGATGGTGAACAGAAATGCAGCAGACGTGGCTGCTAAGCAAGATAAACCTGAATCCTAAATGCGGTACTCCGAAATAATGGATGGAATGAGGGGACAGCCGAGTTCACCACAGTGTCCTATTATATAAGGGACATCCAAGCACTGCAGTCATTATCACCATCATCATCAGTGCTTTGTATTAACGCCCTCAAGCAATACAAATGGAGAAACAATACTACTGCGGACCAAGGAAAGAAGAGAAACGGGGGACTAAGACAAAAGGTAACTTGCATCTGGCAACAACGTGCGAGAACAAATAGGTGGATATCGTATGAGGAAAAAGCAGTGTGGAGTGACAACTAACTTACGACTATAACAGGTCCGCGTCATAAGCAACCTCAATCTACAAATAATTCAACACAACTAGAGCTACAAAAGGAAATTCGACAGTACACAATCACAAATGACCCGCGATAATATTCAGCTTTGCATGTGTCATTGCCACTCCACTTATCCTATCCTTTACACCTTTAGCTCTCGTCTCTATTCACAGACGAAAAAATCTGATTTCCCAGGTCTTATTTCCTTGCCTTCTAGTCTCTGACTGTTTAATTATACTGCAATTTCTTCATCTGTGAGACAATCTCCATGGAACGTTTTCTTAAACCGGAACTTCTCGATGCTGATCCTACTACTCCAGAAGCACAAAAGCAGTAGATTCACCGGTACTCCGCTAACCCCGATAAACAGAAAATCCTGGTTAACTACAGGCTGGCTTGCCGAACAACCTCCTCGTGGTGCCAGCTGGGTGGTTCGGGATTATCCCGTTCCAGCGAATGGTTCGGCGGCAGTGTTCCAGGACGTGGTGGGTTTTCGCCTGGCAAGCGTTCTCCCTATAAAAGCCACATATGTCCGTTTAACAACACTGTGACGTGGCGGATGTGACTCGCCACTAAATAAAGTCACTGCCCCTTGCCTCTCTCTGAGTGGCATTGTAATTCAAGGGTGTGTTGGGCCCCTGGTCCTATGCGGTCCTAAAGGCGTATGAACCATTTGTTTGGTCACCGGCTCCCAACGGGTTGCGATACCCTCATATCGCCCTGCTGCCTTGTAGGTTAGATCCTTGATCAAAGGCTCGGGGTGGGGCCCCCTAAGACAACCCTCTACTTCGGCCTGGGCAACCGGGTAGTATCTCGCCCACTGACGAACCATGGACTTACAACACAACCATTCACCCGCTGTCTTGCTGCTACCATGCTATTCACTCATGTTACTATGCCAACTGCACAAGCACACGCCACCATTTTACCTACCCTTCCCGTGTACCATTCACACCCATTTTTACCTGATTCCTCTACAACGATCAATCCCACCTACACTGATGAACCTGTTCCCGTGACATCTGCCAACTCAACCACACAGTACTCAACAGAGAGTTGCCGGTCCCAAAGTCGCCCATCTTCGCTCCTGCAACCCGGAACGCAGTTCAAACTTGCAGCTTTTAACGTACGCACATTACTGCAGATCGGTCAGCAAGCTGGAGTTGCACGCACGCTAGAGACCCTTGGAATTGATATCTGCTGCCTGACTGAAACACGACTCCAGGACTCTAACTCGGTCTACCAGCTGGTGTCACCGCTCCACCCACGCACCCGGTTCCATCTCCGCCTCTCTGGTGACGCCGAGTCTGCCGCATCTGGGCAAGCTGGTGTTGGAATCGCCCTCAGTGCTAGAGCCGAGACTGCTTTGATTGATTGGATTCCGATCAATAGCCGCCTTTGTGCGATGAGGCTCCATGGCTCTTGTAAAGTCAGCAGACGTCGAGTCGAAAAGCGTGCTCTCTTCGTGATCTCTGCCTACGCGCCCACTGACTGTAGCTCAGACATCGTCAAAGACCAGTTCTACCAGAACCTTCATGAGCTGCTCCTAAGGGCTCCTAAAACAGACATCATTGTTTTGGCAGGTGACTTCAACGCGCGTGTCGGTCGTCTGCTGCCATGTGAGCGCCACCTCGGAGGACCGCATGGATATGATGATGTTCGCTCAGACAATGGAGAGAGACTGCTCAGTCTGTGTGCTGATCATCAACTATTCCTCTCCAGCACCAGCTTTCGTCATCCTGGACGCAAGTACGCCACTTGGCGCCCCCCATCATCAACCCAGCGCTGGTCACAGATTGATCACATAGCTATAAGTCGCAGGTGGCGCGGCAGTGTACGCGACTGCCGATCATTTTGGTCAACATGCGTCGATACCGATCATGCACTGGTGTGTGCGACCGTTTGCATGCGTTTTGGTGGTTCGCCTAGGTCAAAACACACCCGACTGAACACCTACAAGTTGGAGGACCCAATGGTGAAGAAAGAGTATCAACAAAAGCTTCGCGAAAAGCTCTCTCTCTCACACTCTGGATGTTGATCAACACTGGTCAAGTCTGCAACAAGCCTTGTTGTCGGCCGGTTTGTCCAGCTGTGGCCTCACTCGCTCCACTCCCAAATGCTGGATCTCGGGAAGATCCTCAGAATTGCTGGATCGTCGACGGGCGGTGCCTGCTGGCGCAGAGTACAACGAACACCGCCAGTCTATTACGCAACAGCTGAAAGCAAGCCTTCGCTCTGATCGTGAATCTTGGTGGTCAAAACAAGCTGGTGAGATGGAAGCCGCTGCATCAGCTGGCAACTTCCGCCGTCTGTTTTACATCATCAGGGCCACTGGTTGCAATTTCCACGCTATCAGCCAGACGATTTGCGAGGCAGACGGCACGAAGATCACCAACCTTCACAGGCGATTGGGTCGCTGGGCAGAGCATTTCGCTCTTCAATTCAACCACCCAACACAGCCCCCTGCGGCACCTCCAGCCCCAATGTATGATGCTTGGCCTGTCTCCACAGCCCCCCCCCCCCAAATGAAGCAGAGATTCGAAATGTAGTCCAATCTTTGAAACGCCACAAGGCTTCGGGTCCCGACAACCTACCACCGGCTCTATTCAAAGATGGTGGGAGTGTACTTATCAGCGAAATCCTATCGCTGTTCACGAAAGTTTGGACTGAGGAGAAGGTTCCGAGCTCATGGGGAGAATCGGTCATTGTTCCGATTCACAAGAAGGGTTCCCGCGCCGATTGCTGCAACTACCGCGGAATCTCCCTAATCTCTGTCGCATCCAAAATCTTCGTGTCGGTCCTACTTGGCAGGCTTTCAACGACTAGAGAGGAGTTTTCCCGAGAAGAACAAGTCGGATTTCGTCCAGGCCGCGGCTGCATCGACCAAATCTTCACGCTTCGGCAAGTTCTCGAACTTCGTCACATCCACCGGCGGCCAACAATCGTAGTGTTTTTGGACATCCGAGCGGCATTTGATTCAGTAGATAGATCTGCGTTGTGGAACTGTTTACTGAAGAAAGGTGTGCCCGACAAGTTTGTAACCATCCTGAAAGTACTTTACAGTCACACGTCGGGCAAAGTTAGGGCTTACGGCACGCACTCCTCTTCATTTGCTGTGACCAGCGGTGTTCGCCAAGGTTGCCCTATTTCACCTTTCCTCTTCAATTTCGCCATCGAAGATGTTCTCCAAAGAGCACTGGAAGGTGTCCAGGACTGCGGTGTTGAGCTTCTCCCTGGAGACAGACTCACGGACTTGGACTACGCCGATGATATCGCCTTGCTGGGGGACGACCCACAATCCGTCCAGAGCGCTTTGGACCGCTTGGCGATGGAGGCGTCTAAGTACGGCCTATGCTTCACTCCTGGAAAATGTAAAACGCTGCTCCAGGACTGGCAGGTGCCTGAACCCGCGCTCACCATTGCTGGACATGTTCTGGAGCAAGTCCCTTGCTTTACTTACCTAGGGAGTTGCATCACGGCTGGTGGCGGTGTTGGAGATGAAGTCTCACAACGGATTGCAAAGGCCCGCCTTGCATTCATCAAACTGAGACATCTATGGCGTCGTCGTGATGTCAGTCTCAAGCTCAAGGGCAGGGTGTACAATGCTTCCGTCCGTGCAGTACTCTTGTACGGCTGTGAGACTTGGCCTATTCGCTCGGAAGATATGAAGCGGCTATCAGTCTTTGATAATCGCTGTCTACGAAGGATTGCTAGGGTGTGGTGGCAACACCACGTAAGCAACGCAGAGGTGAGAGACCGCGTGCTTGGGGCGAATAGTGCCAGTCTTCAGGAAGTTATTCTCCGACATCGCATGCGTTGGCTCGGGCATGTTCTGCGCATGCCAGCCCATCGCCTTCCACGTCGAGCGCTATTTGCACTCCCAGGGAGCGATTGGAAAAAGTGCCGCGGTGGACAGCCGATGACGTGGAGAAGGAGTATGAAGAAGGCGACCTCAAGTTTGGCGGCAGTCGGACCAGTCCGCCTTCCAGGTTGGGGACCACGAGATGCTGAATTGCAGTGGTTGGAAACATTGGACGTCATGGCCCGCAACAGACATCAGTGGCGGCAATGTTGTTCCGCAATTTCACCATCCCTTTGATGCACACAAAAACTCACAAAACAAAAAAATACAAAATGGCGTGTGTAAAACCAAAAAAATCGTTTCCCATATTTTTTAATCGCATTAGTGTTCCCATCTTCTTCACTTTTTTCTTCTGCCGTGGTTCTGATGGCACAATGTCTGTTAACAGACTGTGAATATATATATATATATATATATATATATATATATATATATATATATATATATATATATATACTGGTTAACTACTTAGCCTATCAGTTTTCGAGAGAGAACCAAGTTCAGCGAAGCTATACAGATAATGGAGAGCGTACATATCAAGCCCAAAATGAGGTTTCCGCGTGGCACATCTTAGCTACGTGCAAACAAGAAAACGGATTTAACTTGGACCAATTCATTCAGAGGCTCAAAGTTCCTGCTAAAGACTGCAGCTTCAAGGCAATCAGCGCGGAGCGAAATTGTGAT